GAGTGCAGGATTTGGGGACACAAACCCGACGACCTCAGCTAACACCTCTGACCTCCGTTGACCCTGTCTGTACTCCTGCTGACCTCACTGGTTGACCTCTCTCTGACCTCCGCCCCCCCCCCCCCCCCCCCAGCTACAACAAGGCGTGTCTGGCGTACGACAGCCACCGGCGGCGACCGAAGGAACAGCGCAGCCGCTGCTCCAGCAATCTGGACATGATACGGATCGTGGCCAAATTCCTGGTACACCGCGATCAGCCCTTCAAATACGTCCACCAGGCCGTGTGGTGAGTGGAGGAATACACTACAGGGCAGTGTAGACAGTGGGGGAATACACCGCGATCAGCCCTTCAAATACGTCCACCAGGCCGTGTGGTAAGTGGGTGATTATACCACAGAGGTGGGGAATATACTACAGTGGTAGGGGAATATACTACAGAGGTAGGGGTATATTCTGCAGAGGTGGGGAATATACTAGAGGTAGGAGAATATACTACAGAGGTGAGAAGGCACTACAGATGGGTGGGGTAATATACTACAGAGGTGCGCGAAAGGCCGTTTAAGAGAGTGTTTAGTGGGGGCCGGGGAATATTGTACAGAGGGGCTGATCAGTTATAGAGGAATATTCCACAGTGGTGTATGGTTAGTGTGGGAATACACTACAGAGGGGTGTGGTAATGGAGGAATACACTAAGGAGTGGTGTGTGGAAATGCGCTACAGAGTGGCCTGGGGAATACACTATAAAAGTTGACACCCTCTGTACCCCGTCTGTACTCCCAGTGACCACCAGAAGGTGGAGAGGTACGCCCTGAACACTCCCTGTACCCCTCCTCCCCCCCCCCCCCCGTACCCCGTCTGTACCCCCAGTGACCAGCAGAAGGTGGAAAGGTACGCCCTGGCCCTATTCCAGCCTGTGACACCCCCTGTACCCCCTCTGTACCCCCAGTGACCAGCAGAAGGTGGAGAGGTACGCCCTGGCCCTGTTCCAGCCGCTGACAGAGACGCTGGAGGGGCTCCAGCGCGGCCTGGACCTCGTCACTCGATTCCAGAAACAGCGCCAGGCCGAGATCTGGAACCTGATGCGGATCGTGGTAGGTTCTACCATGCCCTATATTGTAGGGGGTATAACAGCCTATCGTGGTAGGTTCTACAGCCCTACTGTAGGGGGTATAACAGCCTACCGTGGTAGGTTCTACTGCCCTACTGTAGGGGGTATAACAGGCTATCGTGGTAGGTTCTACTGCCGTACTGTGGGAGTTTTCCAGTCGACCGTGGAGGATTTACAGCCTTTTGGGATTCAAACAGGCGTTCTATGTGGTTTTGCAGCTGTTTCGTTGGGGAGGCAGGGGAAAGTTTACAGCTAAACGGTGGAGGTTTTACAGTCGTGCCGTGGTCTGTTCATTTTATTTAGTCGTGCTAACCTGCCAAGTGTCATTTCCACCAGTGACATTTTATTGTACCTTTGTGATGATCTACGGGTTTTCTTGTGTACTATTATCAAACACACGTCACATACATGTATTTGTCTTTGTTTCGATGATACCTGCCGCAGTGTCAGGCACCTGAAGTATCTCACTGCACTGTCCTGTTGATGACCTGTCTCGCTAACGCCTCCGTCCTCTGCTGTCTGTTTCAGCTGCTGGGCCGTCTGGCGGCGGCCGCCCCGGCGGTGGCGGATGGCGCCCCCGCCTTATCCGCTGCCCCCGCCCCCGCCGCCGCCCCCGCCCCGGTGGCGGGAAGTCAGTCGGTGGAGGAGCTGCTCACCGCGGGCCCTGACGGTGAGGACACTCTACTGGTCAGCTGACTTTGCTGAGCTGAGGCCTCTTGCACCAAAATCCTATTGCACCAAAGCTTGGATAAAAACATACAGCAATCCAGCTACATTGATGATCAGCTAGGAGACCAGCATATTCGTTCATTCAGCTGAAATAAGTTGGCACTCACAATATTCAAACACTCACAAACAATGACGACAAACCCAAATGTTCGACATTAGCGCCCGGTCCCCACTGGTCGCCTGGCCGTTTTACTGCGCCGTTTAAGCTTGGATTATTTTGCATCGTATACCCAGTCCAAGTCTCAAATGTAACAATTTGCGTGCAAAATTTAGCAAGCACATGTAGGATTATGTATTGGGCTATTGCAAACAAATTGACCACCTTTAAGATTAGTTTATTCTGAAACCGGTTTTTTCGATTTTACCTAGCAGGTAGTTTAGTGCAAGAGGCCTCTGCTCTTAACCCGCGCCCCGCTGGGGGGGGGGGGGCAGAATCTGCCCCCCCTCCCGTTTTTCGCCAATAACTTCTAAACGCGTTACGCCAGCGACGTCAAACTTTCAGTACCTTATCATACATCAATTTGACACGTTCCCTGAAAATTTGAGCGAAATCCGTGGGAAAATTTTTGAGAAATTGACGTTTTAGTGACGTCATGTTCGCCATTTTCGCCTCAAAAACGGCAAAATTTCAAACGCCGCTAACATCTTCATTTTTAAAGGAATCAAGACGTAACAAAAAAGGTTATACGTGATTCTACTTTGTCTATCAAATGGCTATCTCGGTTTTTTGAAAATTTTGGATTTTGGCCAAAATTTTCTCAAAAAACTGACTTTTTGGGGAAATTATTTATAAAATCCAAAATTTTGAGTGTATCGAAAAAACCGGAATATATGTCAAAGAAGTTGTCTATGTGCACCTACATACCAATTTTTAGAAGAATCGGTTCAAAAATGTGGGAGTTATTCAAAATTTTATGACGTCACGACACACAAAAATTTTGAAAAATGATTTTTTTGGAAGTTCTAGACCTCATACGGAAACAAAAATAGCACCATTCGATTCGTCGTGAAAAACTGCATCGGATAGACACCTTTTTAGGCCTTAACAACCAACTTCAAAATTTGACCTCACTTGACCTGACCTTGACCTGACCTCGACCTGAAATTCATCCAGAGGTGGTCCATATCTTTTATTGAGTGTGCCTATTGAATTCCATGAGTAAAATGACCCATAAAACATGTGTCGCACATGCCCTTTTCTATATTTTGTTTTTGGTGACCTGACCTGACCTGACCTGACCTGACCTTGACCTTGACCTTTGAATGACATTGTGTGCAACGAATATTGTCTTGGTAGTCTAAGAACACGTTTTGGGCAATCAGTCTCAGTCCATTCTTCGCCAACTACGGTGCAAGGCCGATACTGTAGAAACTTGCATTTTGTACCCTTGACCTGACCTTGACCTGACCTCTGACCTACTTAAGCAAAAAATTTTGGGCTCTTAAGATCCGCCTTGTTGAGAGCTTTCGATTGCCGTTTTCCCCGTCTTTCTACGACCATCGGTTCGGAAGTTAGACAGGGGGGGGGCAGAATCTGCCCCCCCCCCCCCCCAGCAGGGCGCGTATGGCTAAATAGCCCAGCGGGGCGCGGGTTAAATCTGGAACACAGCCTTCAAGCGTGGAAATCGCGTCTCAGCACCTCCCATTGGAATACAAAGCATATGTGTTGCTTCCAACTGGTAGGGCACTAAGCCACGTGTTGGGAGCAGAAAATATGCCATGCATTCCAATTGGAGGTGCTGAGACGCGATATGCACGCTTGAAAGCTGTGTTCCAGCCACTAGGGTGGGGTGTTAGGTATCGGTAATGTGCCGAGACTGGATTTTTAACGGTATGTAGTATTTGTTCTTGGCTACACGATCAATACAGTTTTGAATTTCGGTGTTTGCCGTTTAATTCGCTTTTTACTGTGACATTAATATTATGTCGTGACTCCCTTTTGTTGTGTCGTGCTCAGTGCACACCGAGTAGTTGGTTCTGGAATCAGCTGTTCATATTGCGTGATACTGCGGCTGGAGAAGCTCACTCTATTTTGTCTTGCCTTTGCCGTCGTTCACACTATGCATAATGCTCCATGTTTTTTTTCTTTTATTGGACAACCGTTTTGGAATTTATGCTCACTCAGTTTTTGTTGGGGGGGGGGGGTAGGCCCTTTCGGTCCAATGAGACCATTTCAGAGCCGCGAGGATGATAGGATATAGGGGGAGACATTGGTCAGGGCAGGCACCCTAGTGAGTCACCGGGGCCGAGCCCATCCCGAAGGACAGGCCGACCAGCCCCAAGATACTCACTGCACCCGGCTACGGGGTGCGCTCCCTCGGGAGCAGCGGTGCCGCTCCAAGGGAGCAGCCCGCATAAGATAAAGGTGCCCATGTCCATCCCGGAGTTGGGGTTTCGGCGTGGGGGAGAAGGATTTCAGTATCCTGACGATGGAGACGACGGAACGGAGACCCTACAACCATAATTTTGTGGTACAATGGGTATTCTGCCAACGCTGTGATATCTGACGCTAACACCACTTTTTATTTTCGGAAAACTCCAACCCCCGGTCCCCGGCCCCTGGCGGTGTGTCTGTGATGGTAACTGGTCTCTGTGTATCCCCCACAGAGAACTCCAACCCCCGGTCCCCGGCCCCAGGCGGTGTGTCTGTGATGGTAACTGGACTCTGTATCCCCCACAGAGAACTCCAACCCCCGGTCCCCGGGCCCTGTCAGTACTGTCTGTGATGGTAACTGGTCTCTTTATCCCCCACAGAGAACTCCAACCCACGGCCCCCGGCCCCTGGCCAGTGTCCTGAAATTGATTTTTCGGAGAGTGTGATTGAAGCCGCGAGGACGTCGCTATTTCAAAAGGACGTCGATATCGGTGCGGAGCCTAAGCCACTGAAGCCCTTACCTAAATCTCTTAAAATCAGCGATTTTCACTGGCAATATTGACTAATACCACCTCAAGGCACCTCACATGATCATATATAGACACAAAGTAATGCCAGTTTACCCCTAGTAAAATACAAAATTCAAGCATTCACCACAAACACCAAAACAACACTTTGAAGATGTCTAGTTCTTGTCCATGATCGTACATAACAGTCAACAACAAATATGCTTCAACAAAAATCAGCCCAAGAGCCAGCGGCTATCACTAAATATTGACGTCATAAGAGGGATATCATATCGAGCAAGAGGACTGAAGTAAAAAAACAGACGTCCAAACAAAGAGGTGGAAAACAGCTCGGAAAATTAATTTCCATAGCTTCCTGTTATGAAATTCAATTAAGAAAACTCCAAGGTGGATGCTGAATTTTTCTTGGCTGGAAAAAATGTGAAATCATTGTGCACTTTTCAGTTTTGTACCGACGTCGATTAAATGGGAATAAAAAGGTCAATCGACGTCCCCAACATTGCGTGTATTTTTAAGCCAAGGACGACATACTTGAATTAATACTGTTGAAATTCGGTGGCTTTATTTTAATTCAAACAGATAAACATTAAACTTTTTCCCCAACCACTATCAACATATGCAAAATTAACTACTTTTGAAGGGCATGTTCAAGGGGCAGCGCTAACTCGTTACTGTGACCTTCTGAGGGGAAAAAATAATTAAATATGTTACAGTAATTTGATACAAAAGGTATGTTGCGTGCTTATAAATAAATGTCCAAGTAATATATTCGCATGATTACTTTTTATCTATACACTGCACAGTTACTAAAACTGAAAAGTGGAAAACGACGTCCTCAGATCCCTCTATTCCGACATCTTTTCTCCTTCATATGGCAGCATTACCTTCACATGGTAAAGGAAAAAACTTATCCATATCTGACGCACAGAAAACAAAAATAAAATAAAACCGCGTTGTTTACTGTTGCGGCAGTTGGCCAGGAAAGGGGAGTTGAGTGTAAGAGTGAGTTTTCGAGGACTTAGGATATATTTATTGTCATTTTGCATAGCCGTGTTTTTAGGCTACAGAGGTGATATTTCTTTTTGTTAGTTTGCTTTTGGTGTTCGACATACCTATCGACTTTTATCTGTCAGGGACGTCGTTTGGCTTTCCGGGACGTCACAAAGAGAATCTGTTAGGTGTGGGTTTCCACCCAAATTCACGAAAATCAGGACACTGCCCCTGGCGGTGTGTCTGTGATGGTAACTGGTCTCTGTATCCCCCACAGAGAACTCCAACCCCCGGCCCCCGGCCCCAGGCGGTGTCTCGGACGCGCTCTCGCTCGACCCCCACCAAACACGATTTGGCAGCACTGTAAAGACGTCTGCTGGGCGTGTGCTGGGCGTGAAGTTTTCCCTTCACCATAGGGTTTACACACAAACTGGTCAAAGTTTGAGCCAGGATATACTAGTCTAAAAATGCAAAAAACGAACAAATTTTGGCATCAATAGATTCAGCATTTCATCGTGTGCCTCAAACCGTCCATCATTTGGCCTCAAAGGAGGTAAAAATTGTTCAAAATCGAAGTTGAAAAGATGCTTTCTGAGCACATAATCTGGTAGCAATCACGTGACCTGCTATAAGCAGCTTATCGATAATTTACAAACATAATTATTAATATGCTGCTTTAAACAACATTAATCATACATTTTGAGCTTTCAGTACTTTAAATAAGGTCAAAACATCGCATTACACAAAAGTTAATACTGAATAGTCACGTGGGTGTCAGGAAATGTCACAGGTGCGTCAAATTTGTGACTGGGGCTTTACTTTTTGTTTACTTTCAAACATCGGATCTACCTGTTTCTTATAGGTATCTTGCTCTCGCTGTCCGGCCTGCTGGACTCGGCGACACTAGAGACATCTGACGCCGTCTCGGAGAACCTCAACCTGCACGCCGAGTGAGTGGCGGCGCCACCGGGGCGAGGGGCTGTGCTAATGTGCTATATGACTGACTGCAAGACGAAGCTAGGGATTAGGTGTCATCCACCTGGGCCTCGTTTCATAAAGCGAGTTCGTAACTTAACTTACGCCAGTTTTTGGGCTTGTATTGCAAGCGCATGTGAAGCGATAAATTTATTTCCCCTTCTCCCTTCTGTTAGATCAGATCAGATCAGATTTTTTCTCGGGGTGTTGGCTTTGCAACGCCACCCCATCCGTATTAGGTATCTTCGTCTGATATTTTATCGATTCTTGTGATCTTCCTCTTTGGCGTTCATTTGTTATTTCTACATCTCCATAATTGGTATAAGTTGTTCTTCTTTTCCTCCATTGACTGGTGGCAGTCATTTTCAAAAAGGAAGTCTTCTAGTACTTTATCATAGTCCTCAATATATGGTTGTTGGAGTGCCGTGATGGAGTTCCTAGCATCTTTCAGTGCGGGACAGAAGAGCACGAAGTGTTGGATATTTTCTGTTTCCGCCCCGCACAGCTCACAAGCGGTACTTTCCTGACTGTGCCTTTTTCTATCATGCAATGGTAACGTATTCGTGCGAGCCCTGAATAGTATGCTGGATGCTGGTGTATTGTCGTATATTGTTTCTTCCTTAATTTCTTTCTTTCGGCGTTTGTACATTGATATACTCGTTTTATCGTTCATTTCAGAGAGCCACTGCTGACTGTCCCAAGCTCTTAGCTTGTTCTTTACTGCACATTTCTTCATGTTTCTTAGCTCGGGAATTCGGAGTTGCACCATTGCCAGGTATTCAGCTGTAGTCTTTGCCCATTTTGTCCTTTTTTCTTCCAGCTGGATCCGGATGACTTCTTTTAAGAGTTCATTTGTCCCTTGCATTGTGCTTCTTATGTATTGCAGGTGGCCCTCCATGATCCTCGTTTTCATCTGAGTCGATGCCCCCACGTCTCCGCGTAGAGTACAAGTTGGTGCATACCTCGGAGCTCCCAGTATTTGTCTATAAACGGAGTTTTCATAGATTTGCAGTTGCCTTGTTTCCTTGTCGCTTAGTGATATGATGTTGGAGCCATAGAGTATTGATGGGAGCGCTAGACTTTTCCAAAAACATTTTCCAATCATTAGCTTGTTGCAGCTTTTACCGATCATGCCCATCGTCATATTAGACATTTTCTGAGCTTTTCGAATCATTGCCTTTTTATGCTCTTTAAACATGTTTTTCTTGTTGTTAATGGTTACTCCTAAGTATTTTATGTCGTTGACGACCGGTATTCCTTCGATCTCGTTAGGTTGTTCTTTGCTGTTGTAGATGACTACGGCACTTTTATCTTTGTTAATCGCCAAGCCAAAACTTTCGCTGGACTTCGCTAGTGCCTTCAACATGACCTTCGTGTCTTCCATAGATTGACTAATTATCAAACCATCATCTGCGAAAAATAATAACGGTATGTGTACGTGTTCGTTTCGGAACCCTTTTTCTGTCGCTGAAACACTCTTCATAACTAGGTATGTCACAATCTTGAAATAGCTCGTGCTTCCCGTACAACCTTGTTTTATCCCACTAGTTACTTCTATTTCTTCTGTAATGTCCTCATTGAGCTTGATTTGTGTGACGTCTCCGGTATAGATTGAGGCAACTGAGTCAATCACCTTTGGATCGATCTTGTAGTATTTCAATGCTTGGATCATCTTCCCTCTTGCTATAGAGTCAAACGCTTTGCTGTAGTCCACTGCTACTACGAAAAGAGGTTTCTTCTTTCTGTAGCTCTCATCTACGCAGTAGTTTAGAAGGAATAGGTTGTCCTCCACCCGCCCTCCTCTCGTGAAGCCGGCTTGAGTCTCTAGTATCTCGTTGTTTTCTTCTAGATGATTTTCGATTTTTTCCTTGATGACGCTCATGCAAATCTTATAAGAAATATCGGTTAGTGCTATGGGACGTAAGTCTTTTGCTGTCGGCTTCGTCTTTTTCGGAACCATTTTGGTTTTTGAGGTTTTCCACGAGGATGGCTGCTTGTTTGTTGCTATTACATTATTGAGACATCGAGTGAGTGCAGTTTCTGTTATTGCTTGCAAGATAAATAAATTCAACGATTCAAACTATCGTCATCGCTTCATATGCACTTGCAATACAAGACCAAAAACCGACGTAAGTTACGGACTCGCTTTATGAGACGAGGCCCAGGTCGAATTATTCTTCACTTACGTTTGATGCCTGCTATTCAGTAATTATTACCGTTTAGGAAATGCGTGACACCTAGGCAAGTATTTTTTGCGTAGTGAAGAATGAGGATTTTGAGCTCTGTTTTCTTTCAAGCTGACACAATCATGCACTTTTAACCCTGCTTAAGTGATTGCATTGGACAGTCATTACAGAACAGATAGTCATAACAGATTTCATGGAAAAGTAATTACAGAATGGGCTGTAAAACGGCATGTGTTTCATTCGCAGAATCAGCGAGCTGCTACGGGCTGCCGACACCGTGCCGCCACCTGACGGCGAGAACATAGACTGGAGCTTCCTCAACTAGTCGCTGGCGGCGCTGCAGTCGCCGTGAGTGTCCGCTGCGGCCGACTATGAAAAACCAGGGTCAGTTCGGGTGGGCGGCGACAGCCTTTTTTCGAGACTGTACGCGTCTGGGAGGTATCCGAGACTGTACTGCAGTCTGAGTGCCTTGAAAATGATGCCGGCCAGTGCCATAATGATTATAATTATGGCTCTTTATGCAGTTTTGATGAGCGAGAAATAATTGTGTCTAAGGCCTTAGAGACTAGAATGTTACGCGTGCGAGTAGGTGGACATAGTCGAGCTCAAGAGATCCTTGGGCTGGAACTGATGCTTTGCCGGTTGTTTTAGGTTAGACTTGTGATACGAGCGGAGGCATTTCAGAATACTTTTATTGATTTTAGTGTGCGATTTCCAGCCTTTGCGCGCTCGTTTATCCTTTAGCTGTTATTTTAACATAAGGTGGTCATAGTGATTGACTTCATTCAATGAATGATGACCTATACGGTTTACCATGATTATTACCGCTCTATTCGAGGTTTGTGACAGTCACTCGCGCTTTGCACAATGTTACTCTCTTTTACCCTCAATTTCCATTTGAACAACAATATGTGTGTGAGACAGCCGACCGATGCTGAAAATAATTAGTTCTTATTTTATGAGAAGTCACTCGGCTTATTTCAAGCTAATTTCAGGACGACCAATGCTCCTTTAAAAAGAGTATGATTACACCGACTGTCCGAGCCGCTCAGTCATGGACTTGGTTTGGCTTTTAACCGGGAGGGGCTTCTCCAGTCATGTTTACTGTAGCTTAGAGTAGCTCAGAAACTCCCGATGTTTTTTTCTAGTTGATTGCCGATGCTGTTTGTCGAATTGCTGGTTTAGAGGTGACTGAAAGACTTGCCTTACACGCGATCAACGCCCAACTTCAGTTGATGGACGTTGCTCTATGAAAATGTTAATTGTCAAATCGAGATGTTACAATGGATTAGTTCGTTGTTAGTGGTGATTATAAGTGGATGAGCTCGACAATTATTCCATTTTACTTTTGTGCTGTCATTGCGATACTTATTGCGGAAATATGAGAAATGTTTTCTTGTTTCCTAGATATCCTTGGTTTGCTGGTTGTGTAAGTGTCCATATTGTTTATCTAAATGACCATGCTTTCAATGTTTTTGTACGAAGACTATTTTGATGTTTCATGATGTAATAATCGCCTTGCTGATTATGTTATGGCTATCAAATATCGAGGCTATATTATTACCGGCTTTCAGTTACCCAGTATATATTTACTCCGCGCATTACGGTGCGCATACGTGCTTGTGCTACTCCCTGCATTATGTTACGACGTAACGTTACGTTATATACGCTCTCGATCTTGATCCGCAATGCGCGAACTAAAACGAACGAATGAGCCATTTTGGCGGATTGCAATGGGTTTGAAATGACAGGATGACGTGGAAGTGACTCACTAAGACAGGTTGCGCTAGATTGGTAGGCTGGCTCTGACATTGTACTCCGGTGATATCATTGGAATTCCGTTAGATTTTCAATCATGAAATGTTTTGCCATTTTAGCTGAGAATGCACACCAAAAGCGAATACCCTCTTACATAGTTGGATAAAGTTTAACATATATCTATGAAACATTCAGTGAGCTTTTAAAAGATATTGTATGTCGCATACTCAAAAACCTGTTTTCTGTTTACTGCATTCATCTTTGCCCCGTCTTAGGCTCAGCTGTTTTAAGGTTGAAACAGACTCTTTCCGCGTTCAGGAAATCGCATGCGAGAGCCTATTCAAATACATTATAATTCTTCTCGCATCAATCGCTTGCGGGAGGTTCTTGCGATTGATGCGAACGTGTTTCCATGTATTTGAATAGGATCTCGCATGCGATTTCCTGACTACGGAAAGAGTCTGTTTCAGGCTTTATGCCATTCGTCCTGATGGCTCGTGAGGTATTTAGTTTTGCTATCTCCGCCTAGCTGCCTATCTGCCTGCCTATGTATAGTCTGTCAAAGCTAAGAAAGAACGGATTTGGAGTGCTCAATTGTTGATGCACGTGTCTGTATAGATAACTTCCAATACGCCAGATATAATTTTTCTCAAATTTGAGCACATGTAGGCTGTATCTTCTGCGTCCAATGCACGTGTTAAGTGCTTCGAGGCGCTTTAGCTTCTTTAGCTCCGTTCTTTCTTAGGTTTGTCAAACTAGTTATTTGCCTGCCTGTTTAGTTATCTACTCGCTTAGTCATGTTACATCGGTCGACTTTCTTTCGTTGCATTTCGTCCTATTTCGTGCGGTTGTTTTGTGTCTAGTCAGTATTGGTTTGTTATTGCGCGCGTATTTCAGCCGATGTGAAATACACAAACCTACCGCCTGTGGTCGTTTTCAATGTGTGAGCTGCAGAAAGGTGCTCTTCACTAAAACCGAATAACAAAAATCATTGGATATCAGTACCTATTAGCTAAAGACACTGTATTAACATTGCCACAGTTCTGAGGCCTCTTGCACCAAACTACCTAGCTAGGTAAAATCAAAAAACCTGTTTCAGAATAAGCTAATCTAACGGTGGTAAATTTGTTTGCAATAGCCCAATACATAATCCTACATGTGCTTGCTAAATTTTGCACGCAAATTGTTACATTTGAGACTTGGACTGGGTATGCCACGCAATATAACTCAAGCATTGGTGCAAGAGGATTTTGGTGCAAGAGGCCTCTGGTCTCGTGGCCGCTAACTACGTAGTAACTTACACGTAAATATGATGGCAACGACAAAGAAGGGTATTTTTCCGGCACGCAGTCGTTACATAGCTCATTACAGAGCTCGCGTAGTGTTTGTTCAGGATGGGAAGAGTCAAGTTCACCCATAGGTCGGGTGATGGGAAGAGTCAAGGTCACCCATAGGTCGGCGGGTGGGAAGGGTCAAGGTCTACCCGAGGTCGGCGGGTGGGAAGGGTCAAGGTCAACCCGAGGTCGGCGGGTGGGAAGGGTCAAGGTCACCCATAGGTCGGCGGGTGGGAAGGGTCAAGGTCAACCCGAGGTCGGCGGGTGGGAAGAGCCAAGGTCACCCATAGGTCGGTGGATGGGAAGAGTCAAGGTCAACCCGAGGTCGGCGGGTGGGAAGGGTCAAGGTCACCCATAGGTCGGGGGATGGGAAGAGTCCAGGTCACCCATGTGCCGGTGGATGGGAAGAGTCAAGGTCACCCATAGGTCGGCGGGTGGGAAGGGTCAAGGTCACCCATAGGTCGGCGGGTGGGAAGGGTCAAGGTCAACCCGAGGTCGGCGGGTGGGAAGGGTCAAGGTCACCAGAGGTCGGCGGCGGGGATGACAGACGGGAGTCATATGTCGGTGTCTCTGTTATGAATGTTCGAACAGATTCGAGGACTATCGAAGACGTCTGTGAAACAGAGTAATAGTAAAAGTCACGCTGTCAAATCAGACAATCCTACAGACCAGGGCAGACCAGCGGTGTACTCCTCCCACAGAGCACGTGTGGAAGTATAGGCTGTAGGTATATGTTGTGCCCTTATCACAGTCTTGGATTCCCGAAGTGTTGTAGCACCGCAGCCTACATCATAGGTTCTACCTACAGTATGCATGACAGGTCCTAAACTACACAGCGGCTGGTGGTCCGCACCCTTTTTTATTATTCACGTCTCACACACTATAAAGCTGTACCAATCACAGTTGCGCACTTCTAAATTTCTAATCTGAAATTCGTGCTGCTGGTTGTTGGTGTACAATGGTGGCTCAGCCACCCAACACGACAATGCTTATTTGCGGTGATGATATACTTGGAGCGTCCTTAACAAGTAGAGCTCACGATAACATTAGGTGCTATGTTTGATGCTATCTTCGACACTTGCCTATCAAAGCTGTGATGTAGAGCCTGCACACAACTGTCGGCAGTTCTCAGGGCCCTTCCTCGCTGATCACAAATGTTGTCGCTCTCAGGGCCTACATATATTCACAAAGGCGTCCGCGCGAGGTCAGCGAACACCCGCTGGTAAAGTCTGTCCTCAACTGCAACTAGCCATGCTGAGCCTACTCTTTCAAATCTGACCATCCTACGGTCTCTGTTCTCAAATGTGGCCATTATCAGTACTCACAGATGTACCCGTGCCCAGGGCCTGTACTCAAAGATGTGTCCGTGCACTCAGGGCCTGTACTCACAGATGTGTCCGTGCTCAGGGTCTGTACTCACAGATGTGTCCGTGCCGAGCGACATTACACTCGCTAGTGTATAGCCCGCCGGGCAGCATCACCATGCAGTTGCTGCTGGTGCTCTTGTGCACCACGCCGTACAAGAACCACTGGGGCGGCACGTCCACCCGCTCCCCGGTCAGCATGTCCACGAACTCGCCCTCCACCCGCGGCTCCCGCACCCCAACATGCAGCCACTTGCCTGCAGGAGTCAGCGCCTTCATGGCTTCATACTGAGCCTGCGTCCGAGGTACGGCAGGGACGGCCTCCGGGTCATATTGCCGGCAGGCGGAGATGACGGCCTCCGTGCCGCCCAGGAGGGTGAACAGCCGGGCCCGGTAGGCCACCGTCCGGTCGGCGCTCAGACTAAACCCCTCGGGGAGTTTACTCTGGTAGAGGGAGTTGTTTGACTCGGTGAGGGGGTTGGAGGCCGAGTGGAGGGGGTAGAGCTGACAGAGGGTGTTATTACGGCTCCATTTGATACAGGAGGGGGTGCGGAGGCAGAGGGCGGAACACTGGAGGGGGGAGAGGGAGGCAGAGGAGCGGAGGGGGGCGATGGCGTGTTGGACGCACCGGGCGCGGTACTGGTGGCTCTGCGGGACGGACAGAGCCGCGGGGAACGGAGAGAAGAGGAGCAGCAGGCCGAGCCAGCGGAGCGAGAGGCCGAACCTCCAGGCAACTGGCATGGTAGAGAGGGAGAGGCCGAACCTCCAGGGAACTGACATGGTAGAGAATGAGAGAAGCGATGGCTTCTGAGAGGACGACTTCATGTCGAAGTGTTTATTAGTCGGGATCACTGTGCCTGTGCTCAGCGTTCTTTGGGACCTTCCCGACTGGTTCTGGCAGCGTTCCAATTCACTTTTCCAGGAGACTGCTCCGGTGTCTTTCGCCGTGTTCTCGATGTCCGTTCAGCGGTCCTTCAGAGCTGTCGCGGTGTCCCCTCGCTGCTCATCCAGCGTTTTTCTGAGTTCCTGTCACACTACCTCGCCTCTTCTTCGGCTCTACTCTGGTGTTCTTCCTGGACTCTTTTGACTCTTCAGCGCCTTTTCGGTGTTCTTTCTTTGTCTTTCAACCCGCCTTCGCTGTGTTCAGTACGCTCTTTCAGTGTGCTTTCTTGCTCCTGGCAGCTGGTCTGACGCCGAAGCTCCTCCTCCGAGCACGGATGCACTGGTGGAAAATTCACTTCCTTTATATACCTCCGCCAAGAGAAAAAAGGTGGTTTTTATATTACCCTCTTTGTCAAACTCAGTACATACCCAGGAAGGCTATTGCAGCAAGTCGTCGCCAGTGCGAACTTGTAGCTCGCGATGTGCATCAAAGATAATGCATTTTGGCGATATCGTCTCTGAAGTTCTGTAAATGTGTAGATTCTGTATTCCTCAGCGCGCACCCTCACACCGTCAGTCCATCTTGCTCACTGACTCACCGCCTGCCCGGACACAGCTTGGCCCCGGCGGCAGCGACCTGACACCGCCTGAGCGAAGTCCATCCGACTCGCATCGCGGAAAGCATCACTTAGCATCGAAAAGCATCACTGAAACTACACTCCACCCTTGATCTCAAAGGATCAACCCATCGATTGGAAATACTGGGCCTGTCTACGTTCCCGCTCGCTTCTACGTGGAATCTGTCGCTCCTCCTCGCCCACAATCTCAGCTGACTCTCCCTCCACGACTTCCGGCCCACTGTTCCCCTCTGAGCCCGCATCATTCACCACCGGCACGGTAATGACCAGACTCTCACCGTCCCTCTCTCCCTCACTGTCGCCCTCACTAACGGGCCCCTCCTCGACGGCGGCATTCCGTCGGCGTAAATTTCTCACGTGCCACGGCACTCCATCGACTTCTACGACCTGCTCAGAAACGACATCAGACACCGTGCCGGGACGCGACGCATCAACACACCGAGTTCCCCGACGACGTACCCAGACAGGGTCGCCAACACGATACGCGGCTGCCTCACTGTTCACTGGTACGGGGTTGGGCGCCGGCGGTGCAGCAGCGGGCCGCACATTGTCCCTCACATTGTACCGGAACACGACACTCGCGGGTGCAGATCCACCCTCGCGCGGCGTTACATTGTACAGGTGGACTGCCTCGGCCACCGAGCATTGTTTTCGCGCAGCAATGACCTTGATCGTGCGATGGTTCCGCTCAACTATCGAATTGCCAGCCGGCTCATGAACCGCCCTAAATCGAAGACGCACGCCCCACCTCGCTGCAAAAGCCGCAAAACTCCGACTGCGAAAGATGGTGTCATTATCACAAAGCAGCTCCTCAGGTGCCCCGCGCTCGAAGAAGATCTGTTCGAGCTGAGCGATCGTGACATCAGCGTCCGGACGACTCAGGTGTCGCCACAGACCAGAAGTGCACAAACCTTCCTACTTGCCTACAATGTAGGAGACAGGAAAGAGCCGAAGAGGGTAGCCGCGAGACAGATTTCAGTTTGTGTTTTCTGTACAAAAATGACTATAAAAACAGCTAACTGGTAGCAATTGGTCGGTACAATCAGCTGTCAACGGCATTTGGTCATTACATTTCTTTACGTGTCTTCAAAAACAGTTCCTACAAATCTCCTCCATGAGACACCCACGAGACAGTTCCCATTGGATTAACATTGTGTCTCATGAGACACCGTGTAGGTAAAATGTAGGATGAAAAACTACGAAAGTGGTGGGCATGTTTCGAAAAACGGCGCACAAATTCTTGGGGCGCCTTAACAAAACTCCTGTTCGAAAATGGGTTCTGGTAAAGTTTCGTCAGCTGGTTTCCATAGCAACCGCCATTCGTGGGACAAGCTGACGCCATTTGCTATCGCGTTGCGTGGTAACCAGCTATCGGTGTCAGTTGAATTTGAAAGATAATTGTAACAGTGAACAGCTCGCTTCAGTTGCTGTACTGTGCTGTGGATGTGTGTCTTGTGCAGTGTAAGCAAAGTGTATACGGACTTTCACATTATATTTTGTGATGTGATGGTGTGGTAATAGAAGGTTGTGAGCTCTAAGTGGAGTTAAGGAATTGCCAAAGAAATGAAAACTCTGCATGGGCCGGAAATCTGCAGCCTGCACTTCTATAAACTCTTCATAAGAGGTTCGTGGCAGGGGGCATTTTTGGGAGCGATTATGGAGGTGCTGGTAAGTAGGTAGGTACCCAACATAATTGGCTTGATGAGAACTGAAACTGAAAGTCAAATGAATTGTGAAATTGCTTTACCTATCCTATCTGATCACTTCTACTTATTTTTTAAATTTTCCATTCATTTTGATTGATAAAGAACAACATTGAAAGATGCTAACATGCAGGTAACTACCTACCTAGCTCTAATGTAAATAGGTACCTAATAATTTCCTTCAAAAGAATATATAGCTCTTCAATGTACTGGAGATTTAGTAATTGAAGGCATCTCACTTCATTTTGAACATTACCTAGGTATAACTTCCCTAAACTGCATGACAAATTTTCAATTTCCTTGTTGTAACACCAATACCACAAACATTCATCTGGGCACAAGGCTCACAACATCAAATTATTCATGTTTTATAGACAGGTACCTATACAGCAAAAATGCAACAGATATGTGATTATTTTAAACATAGTCTTTGTGTTCAGTTGTGTATATAATAATTTTGTGGGTGGAAAATGTGTCATGAATTGTCTACAGGTCTGTGTAGAATTGTAATAAATATGATTATAGAAAAAGGAATGGCCAGTTAAGTAGTCAACATGTTTACTCAACAACAAGATATGCTGGCATGGAGTTTGCTCATGAGTTTGCTCAAAAACCTTTCAGTTAGTGTGGGAAGCATAGCAATTTGAAGCATATGCTTATAAAACTGATTTGTAATGGGGTTTGTGAAGTTCTCCATAAACTTCACACCTAGCAATGTACCTACCTAATGCATTGCATTACTTTAAAAAGAGGGAGACCATACAACTTGTCAGGTAGGTAGGCTTTGACATTGATTTCAAGATTTCAAGGTGATCTGTGCTTTTGCTTATAACTTGTCCTCATTCTCTGACTAAAGGAGTGGCAATACAATCTGACTTGTTCTATTTTCCTCTTGCCTTGCCATTTTTGACATAATCCTTGCCCAGGCTATATGTTGGTATGATGAAGGTCAATCAGATGACATATTTCAAATATTACAGTCATGATTTCAGTTGAATTTGCCTAACTTTATTTAAACAATATAAGATTACACATTGCATAGCTATAACAGCAATATTTGAGCCACCATTGGCATAGAAATTAATAGGTTGCAAAACATTACTCAGCAAGAAGAAATCAGTCGTTGACAGTGGAGAAAACACATCTAGACTTGACAACAAATTACAATTGATTATTCTTCTACCATTCATGTTGGCATAAGTAATAATTCAAATGGATACTTAGTGCATTTTCTAAAGATTTTAAGCACATGAGATCCATCCAAAGGCACAGACTCGGAACAAAGGCTGTGTTATAAACAAGGATATTGCACCTTTTTGGTATCTTAACATATTGTTATATTCCGACATCCTAAGAAAAATAATATGGTAATCTGCCCTGCTTCATTTGATACGTATCGATGAGTAATTGGATGTTGCGGGAATGCAATTAGTTTTCCGGCAGTTGTCTCCAGCAGCGACAAAATGGCCGCTTACTTTCTGTCAAACATTTGCTTTCATATGGCTAAGTACATTAATTTACTTAGTCTAACTTTGTCTAGCAAATCTCCAGTTTTACTTCGGAAAAACCGGCAGCGTGTTCCACATTGGTGACCCCGCCAGGCGAGGCAGTTCCGTCGGCCGTCGATGTCCTTCGGTCATATAACCCCCAATAAAACTAGCGCGTCGAACGATCGGCAGCATGGATGGTCTCACACCATCCATGGCAGGGACCGACCTCACAGAGCCACGCAGAAAACAGGAATATCGGATTTATCTGCCTCTAAACTGTAATGTATGAATGCGTCGTGAAAATTTTACAAGACAGCTGAGGTTTGCTAAGCAAGAAAAAATAGACCAGGATCTGTATTAGCGAAGAGATTAGCGATGCACGTGAAATGTGTATAGACTGCAGTATAGATGTATAGTCAGCGATGGATTATAAAAGGATTTAAAGCCGCTTCTTAAAGCCTACAGTCAAAACGTTTTCTGAACGTTTGTGGTCCTCAATATGATAGGTATTCTATGATAGGTATTCCATAGCAATTTAATGGGCTTCGTCCCATTAGCAAATATTGCAAAATCGTCCTCAAATAATGTTTTCTTACCTAAATGAAGTAATGTTGATCCAGGAAAAAACTTGTTACACACTCCTTAAAGTTTCATATTCCTAAACAGAAACACTGATGTGCACCGTACACTGCAGCGTTACGTCACTTCACCTTCAGCCCACCAAATGACATGATGTGGAGATGGAATTAAATTGATGAAATACTAGGACTTACTCCACAAGGAGATCGAATGGGTCGGAGCGCTTTCAATATGTATTATACATATCGTCGTCAGCGAATCAATAACGGGTCGAATCGAGTCGGGTATCGAAGAAGACATATCGATTATACATATCGATTCGCTGACGACGATATGTATAATACATATTGAAAGCGCTCCGACCCATTCGATCTCCTTGTGGAGTAAGTCCTAGTATTTCATCAATTCAGCCCACCAAGTAGTAACTGCCCCACTAAACGGGAGAGGGACACTATGGGACGGCAGATGGACGCCCGTCTGGTCCATGTGGAACTGAGCCCTCATTGGATGAGAGGAATTAATTGAGCGTCCCGGTGGTTTTATGAGGGTAGTTCTTGACTTTCCAGTGTTTCCAGACACAGTCAACAACCAGACCGCCTCACTCTAGTCTATTTATACACCAACAGTATGCATTTCAGGTGGAGGTGTACCAAGTCCTGCCTCGCACTTTGCCCAAATCAGCGCATACCGTATGTCTGTCGGCTTCTTAGAAAAATGACGATATATCTGCGGATAGCTTCAGAAATAAAAACACTTCAGGAATAGCGTTTACGTCCTGTAAATATTAATAACTGTAATGTAAATAACCAGCTTTACTTGAAAGTATAGATATGTTGGGATATACCTAAGGATGATCGGTGAGACAAACCGGAGCCATCGGAGACCGTGTAGGAGACAGGCTGGGCTATTTGTGCACCTCTGCCACAGACAGAACCGCGAGGGTCCACAGTCCACAACCGAGAGAAACGACTGGCCCCGGTAGTGCGTTACATCAATTGCCAGTCGCTTCCATACGTCAGACACTTCCAACGAGCCATGCCTCCACTTCATTGGCGCCGGATCGATTGAGCGGCATGCGTCACACTGGCTCACCACATTTTGCACTTGAGCTCGCGTCACGTCCTTTGAAATGTCACGCCGTGCAAAGTACAGTGTCCGACGAACCCCGGGATGTCCGGCGCGGTCATGCACTCCTGCGATGGCCTCCGCAATATCAGCAGAGCCTCCTGGTGCAAGCTGATCCTCCGTCCGGTCCTCTGTCGCGCCGGCCGAGTCTCCCCGCGGCGTCATCCGATCCACCTCAGCGCTGCTACCACCTGCAGCTGCGACTTGATCGCCTCCTCTCAGTACTGCCGAACCCGATGAATCGTCATCAGAGTTAGGCAATGCCAGCCCATTGGCCGCAGCCTCGCAGCCGACCATTGTCTCAGTAGCTGCAGGCGATGACTCATCACGCACCCAGTCTTTCGGCACTCGGGTCAGCTCGTCTGCTCGATTCGCTGCGCTCCGCACTAGAGTTACAGACAGCGACAGCTCGAGCTCATCCACCAGCTGTCGAATCATGTCGACCCTGCGTCTGATCAACATCTCTCCGTGTGCCTTGGTGCGCAGCCGAGTGCGGCCGCTCAACGCATCGTTGATCCAACGGTGCACTGTGACCGAGTCCGTGCGCAGATCGATGACACGCATGTCCCAAGCGACGGCCACGTTGATGCCTCTCACGGCCGCATTTAGCTCCGCAACATTTATGTGTGTGGATTCATCCTTCCTCAGCCAGCATCCGTCTTCAATGACGTCGCCGTCAGGTGACTCCACCACCACACCCGCTGCTACGGAGCTCGCATCCACCCAAACCACAGCGCGGTCGCTCCGCACGCTCCACAGACCGTGTGCCGGATCGTGACTGGCTACCCGAGCCGCGACATGACTAATCTGCTTCTGCAGAACTCCGTCGTAGGTGATGTCATCCCATCCTTGTGTGACGTCATTCACGCGTCGTTTCAGCCAGGCCACGGCAGGGCGGAGCCAACCACACACGGGCATGTGAGCGATCAGGCGTCCGCACCACGAGAACACTCCACGGCGCGTGATCACAGCCGGTGGTGGTCCGACTGGGTTGTCTCTGCTCCACACCAGCCTGCCAAGCTCCCGTGAGACTCGCAGACCGAGCAGACGCGCACCGCCTGCCGCCCGCTCTGGAGGCTTGCACTCGAGACCAAAGTTCGCCAGATGAGCCACCACTCGCTCTGCGCTAACAATGTCCTCGTTCACCAGCAGATCGTCCACGTACGGAAGCACTGCCCGGTTTACGTCCGCGTCACGTTCCAGAACCGTCCGAATCACCGCCTTCATGACGAGCGGAGCCACGCACAATCCATAACCGAGCCGTGTCAAACAATGTCTCTGGTTTTCGATCATCACCGTCTGAAACGGCCACAGCTGGCGGTCAACCTGAATCTGCAAATACGCGTGACGTAGATCTACGACCGCAACGTTTTCGCCATGTCGTCGCCACTTCCTCAGTTGGTCCGCACAGACGTCTGCGTCAGCTGTGTGAGCTGTTAAGTAGTTGTTCAGTTCACGATAGTCAAGCACAGGTCTCACTTTCGATTTGTTCTTTTGTTGGACTGCCATTAAAGGCACCAGACCCTTTGGTGGGCCAAGCTCTGACTCGTTGTAGGGAATAAGCCAGCCCTGCTCCACCCAACGTTTGAGCTCATCGTCAAATTCACGGCGAGCGTCACACGGCACCCTGTACTGTGCGACAGTGTTCTGCAAGCACTCCGGCTCTGCTCCGTCAGTCCACTTCCATTTCATTCTCCACGCCTTAGATGTCGGATCAAAGTACACGGCATAATCTGGTGCATCCACAACTGGTGCCCGGTCCGGGTGCAGGTCGGTCGGTGTCGGTTCGGGTTGCGCCGCCGTCTCATTGCAGCCCGGATGCAGCGATGAGGCTGCTCCATCCGAGACGCCACTGGCAGCCGCTGCAACTGGAGCGGCCGGCACAGCTGAGTCCACTCCAAAGTTCACTTCACTGGATGCACTAACGAACACGCCCTGCAGAGCAGTCACGCCGTTCATTCCCAGAATGAATGAAAAGTTCAAAGGCTTTCTAGCAGACACCAGCACTTCCAACTCAACTCGAGCACCAAACATGGTCTGCACTGACACGTAACCTCTGCCTTCGCATGCGTATCGTTCTCCACTCAGTGTCACAACGTTGATTCGCTCCGCAGACCAGCGGCGGCAAACGGAGGAGTGCGCGACGCTCACGGTGCATCCGGTATCCACGAGGGCTCGACACATCACTCCGTCCACCGACAGGCGCGTGGTCGGCAGAGCGCCACTCACTGGTGAGCCGGAGAGGAGGCTGGCGCTGAGGCCACCTCTCCGCCGCCGTTTTCCGGGCAGGTAGCTGCCACGTGGCCGGGTCGGCTGCACCGGAAGCAGAGCCTGCTTCCGCCCAAACCACCTCGACGTCCACGGCCACCTCGACCACGAAGACAATCGCGGGCCAAGTGGTTGGGCTGTCCGCACGCATAGCAAACGGTGGCTTCCTGACGGCGCGGACCGCGGTGGTCTGCCGCTGCAGCTACCCCCAGAACGCTATCTCGACAGAGGATAGCACGGGCCCGGTCCACCATCTCCGACAGAGACAGGGACTCCATGCGGGCGCCTGTCTGGAGAGCGTGCCGCACGGACTCGGGCAGTCCTGCCACAAATGCGCAGCTCAATCCCTCTTCGTTAATGCCTCCGAAGATCGACGACAGTCTTTGTAGGTCCGCCAGAAACACATCGACGGACTCGTCGACCCGCAGCTGGCGATCTCGGAACTCTTCGTAGGCTTTGAACTTGTCAACTGCAAACGCACGCTGCAAAGCCGCCTTCACTTTCCCTGCGTCCGCCTTGTCGGCTTCACTCAGTTGGCGATAAACAGCCGAGGCACCCCCTGTCAGTCTCAACGGCACCACCACGGCCAAGTCCACTGCCGGTTTTTGCAGGCCACACACCAGTTCCACCTTCTCATACCAACACGAAAAGTCACTAGTGCCATCATACTCCGGGATAAGTTTCAAGTCGAAGTTCGCCATGATTGCCGAAATAGCTTGTAGATTCTGTATTCCTCAGCGCGCACCCTCACACCGTCAGTCCATCTTGCTCACTGACTCACCGCCTGCCCGGACACAGCTTGGCCCCGGCGGCAGCGACCTGACACCGCCTGAGCGAAGTCCATCCGACTCGCATCGCGGAAAGCATCACTTAGCATCGAAAAGCATCACTGAAACTACAAAATGTTTGCGACTTACTAGAGATTCACTGTGCAAGTTTGCAAGCTTTACTTTTAGTATAAGTGATGCCTAGGGTAGTGGTTAGCCGACGATTTTTCTTTGAACACGTAAACATCCCTGTGCAGACACTTGCATGCTTTTAGTGAGAATAACTTTGTCCATTTATGAGGACCACGTTTGAAGGATGTAAACAGTTTGTAAATGTTACAGCCCTTTCAGTTGAGGTCTGGAGAACGGTTCGAAGTTTTAAAGTGCCCGGGCAGCCGGCAGCAATGCTTCTGAGCATCATCCAACAGCAATTTCACTCCTGGGTGCAACCTGCTCCACTACGCTAGTCGAGCGACACTGATAACCCAAGGCCTGCCCCGAACACTTGTTCCATGCCTTTATATTGCCGCTTAAAAGAAAAACTTGCAAAACGACCCAGCTCGTGACCGATCCAACTTCTATAAAAGCCAATCACATCCTATAGATTGTTCAATGTACATACAGGGTGTAACGAAATTATCCGGACATCTATTTTTTCGCCATATCTGCTCGCACAGTTTCTCTTTTAATGTCAGAAGCTGGAAAATTGGATGAATGCATACCTCTGGTATCTGCTCTCAACTCAGCAGTGACCTGACCTTGCGAAATGACTCTTGCTCTGAGTAAGAGTCGAGTCGCCGACGGGGTCATTTGATAGTTTTCGTTTAAGGCAGTGGAGAGAAAGGAGTACAGTCTCTCGTTTCGTAGTAAGGCTACGTGTTGGTGGCATGGTGGCATGAGCCAGAAGCTGGTCTGTCAGCAGCTGGACATCAGCAGCAGCCAGTAGCACATCTGCCTGAGGCGTAATAAGCTGGGACTTGGTGGCAGACTCAGCCCGGCATCGATCGCAAAAGGCGCCCTTTGCCAAGTGGTGAGGAGAGTTGTCAAGATAGCGACAAGGAAACGGCACCAATTAATCCGCATACTGACTCGAATTCTTACCAAGGTAGATAATAAGAGGTCCCACATCATGATTCACCGTTACCCGCCCTTTAGCTTGGTTTTACTGCCCTTCAAACTGGAAAAGACAATGAAATTGACGGGAAAACAACCAGTCCACCACCTTTGGCTTCAGGCCAGGGCGTGTCCACTGGTCGGAGGAAGACACGAATGAGGTGACCTGGTCGGATGGGAAGCTGTTCGAGCTGCGATACCCGTTGAACCGTCAAATCGGCCATGTGTGGGCTGCCAGCAACTCGAATATGCCGGCCGTCGCCGGCGTCAAACATCCGGCCAAAATCCAGACCTGGAGCATGTTCAGCTGCTGTGTAATATTCAAGCTGTTCATGACGACACAGAAAACCACTATCAGTGACGAGTATTACCGGCGCAACATCCTGGCTAGCGATTGGTTGGAGCCACTCAACCAGACGGCACAGGATGGCTCGGTTTCTGAACGTGTACCGATACCTGATTCAAGCCGCGCAGTCTTCATACGGGGCGGCGCACCACCTTCAAGTCCCTAGCAGAATGAGAAGTGATGCCGAGAGGAGCTTTTTGTTCTTCTGGGCTAAAGGGCTATGGCTTGGAAATAGTTCCCATGCAATTCCGTCGATATATTATGGACTATTGCCCATCAGGAGATGAATGAGGGGACACCCGCCACCAGCGCCGCCCAACTGCGGGCACAGGTTGAAAAGGCGCTACTCTATATGAAACCCACTGTGCTGCAAAATCCAGTGGCTGGAATGCTCCAAAAATGTGTACCTGCGCTCTTATGAAAGGTGGCTATATAATAATTCAAAAGGGAAAATATCAGAATGTCTTGCTTCTTAATTACAGCGCGAAGAAAGATGTCCGGATAATTTCGTTACACCCTGTACAAGGTAATATAAACAATTCACTGAAGACGTCAAACCTTTGATGGCGATGCTTTCCCGTTCCGTCGACCGGTTGATTTTGTTTGCGAGTCAAACTTTGTGAGTGGGCGAGAAGCCTGCTAGTTTGCCGAATTGTTAGAAATTGGTCGGACCGCCAGAACGTTAAATTCTCCTTTCCACACACTGAGCGCTGCGCCCACAGATAAGCAAGAGCGCAGTTCTGTGGTTTATTCCGGTGAAATATTCATTTCCCATCTGTCCGCATGGCACACACCAGGTCTATGTTCCAGCGGCGCCGACTCTGCCCGAGTCAGGGCCTTGTTTATTTGACATCGAAAACGCGTAACATATAGCTCGTCATCAAGCAGTTTATGAGGGGAGACATTACACGTACACGCTGCTGCAACAACGAACATGCCTGTATGGGCTACCGGGATAGGCCATCTCCCTACGTGTGTGGTATATGTTATATGTAGGTACTTTGTGTCCATCAAACATAAGTGGCATTTCAAAACCCTTCTATACGCGCCACCCAGTAGCCGTGGTTAGACACATTACGTCACTGGCATCTGTTATGACGTCATTAATATAATCACGAGCCACCAAAACCACGAACTGCGGTGAATTAACCCAATCTCATCGAATTATAGTCAAAACAGCTTCGACGCATAACAATAAGACACATTGAGAGGCTGGCACAGAGCTAGAGGTGTAGGTACAACAGTGGAAAAGCAAAAAGCACATTTCCCAGCAATATACATAATCAGCCACGCCTTGCAGCGTTCCAATGACGTCAAAAATATACACAAACTGACCCAGGACCCTGTGCGTGCATCATTTGACGTCACCTTCCCCATCCGATGACGTCATATGTTCCTTTGCAATGTCGTTTTCGTTACCAGCCCACACTCTTCTTACCTATTACCCAGTAAACATGCCGACGTCGGCCCAACGTCGGTTCAACCTCGGCCCGACATCGGCTGGACGTCGGATATGCCCGCATGTTCCGACGTCCAGCCGAAGTCCAGCCGACGTCGAGGCGACGTCGGGCCGAGGTCGTTTGCCGAGGTTGACGAGATCGTTCGTCGTTGGACCGACGGGGCCGACGTCGGCATGTTTATTGGGACAACGCGCCAAAAATATCAACCGGCGGCGTGATTCGAGCCACCCAGTCGCCGACGTCGGCATGTTTACTGAGACAACACGCCAAAAGCATTAGCCGGCGATGGGATTTGAACCCCGTGTCATTTGAACGCGGGGTTAGTGCGCTAACCTCTACACCACGCAGCCAGATAACGAATTTAGTTTGTTTTGTTGGGTTATGCCCTTTCGGTCTGACAAGACCATTTCAGAGCCGGAAGGATGATAGGATGGAGACATTGGTCTTCTTGGCGAGCACCCTGGGTCCAGTTCATATAGAGTCCCTGGTCCCATTGCTGTTACGTGACACTTATTGGAAAGGGCGACCCCACAATGGATTCATATAGCCAATCTTACACACCTGCACCAACGTTTCCCAAAGTGTCCCTTTGATAAGTGGCACTTTGGCAAAGTGACACTTGCCGACTGGCCTTTCTATATGAACTGGGCCCGGCCCTGGTGAGTTGCCGGGGCTGAGCCTGACCAAAGGATAGGCCGAGCAGCCCCCAAGCACTCACCGCACCCGGCTATGGGCGGGCTCGGCTTACGGGCAATCCCAAATGGGATAAAGTTTCCCGTCCAGTCCGGATCAGGGGGTTGCGGCGCGGAGGAAGGTTTTAGTTTCCTGAGGATATTTTGAATACAGAAGCTCTTTATGAAACATGAAACATGTATTTTATATTATTTTAACGGCCAAAACTGCGGCCGATGTCGGTCCGACGTCGCCCCGACGTCGGACCGACGTCGGCTGGACCTCAGCAATTGATCTCGGTCCGACGTCGGCCCGACGTCGGCTGGACCTCGGCTGGACGTCCGTACATGCGGGCATATCCGACATCCAGCCGACGTCGTGCCGAGGTTGGACCGACGTCGGGCCGACGTCGGCATGCTGATGCCGAGTTGCGGACGTCGGGCCGACGTCGGCATGTTTACTGGGTATTGATCCATCTTCTGAGCTGTCAAAGGGAAAACGTATGACGTCACATACGTTACGCATACGCCTGGTGAAATCGTCGGCCCTTCTCCAGTAACCTATCAGGTATTTATCATGTGACGTCATAAACGTACATGCGTCTGAGGACAATACCGCAGCTTCCATTCCAGCCGTAAAATGTTTTGCGACGCATAACTACATACTTATAAATTAGCATGGCATCGATGGGCGCCGATGACCACTGCAGTCCGGGCGCCCCCAAAAAAAGCCAATTCATCATCATCATCACCGTTGCCCAAACTACCCACCAAAGGCATAAGTTTTGTGACGTAATATGTTTTCACCTGTCACCATCACTATATTTAGACGCACACACCTGGATCTGACGGCCTCCACCCCTCCACTGACTGCCAGGGCTGACAGCAGTCATTCCCAGTGACGTCACAGGCATCACTGACGTCACTGGCTCTCGTTTTTCTGTGTGAAGTTGAGGAACAGCCCTCCCTCCGGTCCCAGTATGACGTCACTGGTAGCCGTGACGTCATTGTTTCTCGGTTATCAGCTCAGGAACAGACCCCCCTCCAGTCGCAGTAAGACGTCACTGGTTCCTCGGTGTGAAGCTGAGGAAGAGCCCTCCCTCAAGTCGCAGTATGACGTCCGGCCTCAGTTTGATGGTGTCCAGGCTGTCGTGGGAGGTGATGTGGAAATTTCGCACCACGCTGGCCAGCAGCACCTTCTCCTCCATCAGCGCAAACTTCTGACCTGCGGGGGTAACATACAATAAGTTAGAATACCTTATCTTTCAGCGCAAACTTCTGACCTGCGGGGGTAAGATACCATCAGTCAGAGTTATCTATCAGGGCAAACTTCTGACCTGCGGGGGTCACGGGGAGGTGAGATAAGCGGTCAGACTGATACACCAATCCACAATCCACAAGAGCGAACTTCTGCCTTGTGAATGTGAGCGTCCATCGTGACAAAATCCTGACGTATCAATGAGCGAAAGGGTGAGATATAAGCCAACTTCTGATCTGTGGGGCACTAACCGGTGATAAACTATAAACACTCAGACTCAGACGTTCCCCTTGTAACCGCTACTGCGGCCTAATCTGTCAGTTCTGTGATGCCGGTCCCGTCCCTGCCCTTATCTGTCAGCTCTGCGGTACCGGTCTCGTCCCTGCGCTAATCTGTCAGCTCCACCACGTACCGATGCAGTTACGGGGCCCGGCGGAGAAGGGCACATACCGGTCCCGTTCCTGTCCTAATCTGTCAGCTCTGTGATACCGGTCCCGTTCCTGTCCTAATCTGTACACACCACCACGTACCGATGCAGTTGCGGGGTCCGGCGGAGAAGGGAACATACCGGTCCCGTTCCTGTCCTAATCTGTACACACCACCACGTACCGATGCAGTTACGGGGCCCGGCGGAGAAGGGAACATACCGGCCCCGTTCCTGTCCTAATCTGTCAGCTCTGCGATACCGGTCCCGTTCCTGTCCTAATCTGTCAGCTCTGTGATACCGGTCCCGTTCCTATCCTAATCTGTGCACACCACCACGTACCGATGCAGTTGCGGGGCCCGGCGGAGAAGGGGACATACCGGCCCCGTTCCTGTCCTAATCTGTCAGCTCTGTGATACCGGTCCCGTTCCTATCCTAATCTGTACACACCACCACGTACCGATGCAGTTGCGGGGCCCGGCGAAGAAGGGAACATACCGGCCCCGTTCCTGTCCTAATCTGTCAGCTCTGTGATACCGGTCCCGTTCCTGTCCTAATCTGTACACACCACCACGTACCGATGCAGTTGCGGGGCCCGGCGGAGAAGGGCACATACCGGTCCCGTTCCTGTCCTTATCTGTCCACCCCACCACGTACCTATGCAGTTCCAGGGTCCGGCGAAGAAGGGAACATACCGGTCCCGTTCCTGTCCTAATCTGTACACACCACCACGTACCGATGCAGTTGCGGGGCCCGGCGAAGAAGGGCACATACCGGTCCCGTTCCAGTCCTAATCTGTCCACTCTGTGATACCGGTCCCGTTCCTGTCCTAATCTGTACACACCACCACGTACCGATGCAGTTGCGGGGCCCGGCCGAGAAGGGAACATACCGGTCCCGTTCCTGTCCTAAACTGGCAGCTCTGGGATACCGGTCCCGTCCCCGTTCTAATCTGTACACACCACCACGTACCGATGCAGTTGCGGGGCCCGGCCGAGAAGGGCACGTAGCTGTACGGGTGGCGTCCCTTGCTGTTCTCCGGACTGAACCTCTCCGGATCGAACCGCTCCGGGTCCGGCCAGTGCACCGGGTCCCGGTGGATGGCGTACACCAGCAGGCCGACGTTGCAGCTGCCCGGAATCGGGTACCCGTCTGCCGGCCGAACACCGTCATTGGTCAGTTTAGGTGAGGGCGCGGGTTCGAATCCCGGCGGGGGCAAACAACCACACAAACAAACAAACAAACAGAGAAAACGGATTTGAGAATTGAGATAATGTTTTAGTTTTCTTTTCTTTTCGCATTGCTGCGTACCTGCCCCCTAGCATTTAATGACAACGTGTGTTATGCGTTATTTTGCTCGACCAGAAAACACAGAAGGGATTCATTTTCAGTAACACTTCAGGTTCGAACTTCGAACCGTAAACCTCGTTAGACAACGGTCAAGTTCAAACCAACGTATCAGCTAACCTGTTTCCTCATATATGCATTATGCAGTCCCGATGACGTCACCGCACTAACTGACCAATGACGGTGTCTGAGGTTAGGTCACCGATGACGTCACCGCACTAACTGACCAATGACGGCATCCGAGTTGAGGTCACCGATGACGTCACTGCACTAACTGACCAATGACGGTGGGTGTTCAAGTTTAGGTCACCGATGAGGCGATGACGTCACCGCACTAACTGACCAATGACGGTGTCCGAGTTGTATTGTATTGTATTGTATTGTATTGTATTTTATACTGGAAACTCTCCACAAGTGGCTATTACGAGCCCAGTTAACATGGCGATGCATTGACAGCACAACATACGTTTGCAAACACACATACATGTAATGAAAGTAACACAGTTGAAAACAAGCAGATAAGGAGGGTATTTGTCACTGTTCCAGCCTGGTCATGAGCTGGCGACGTGACGTGGAAAGTGTAGTCACACGCGAAAGTTTATTCCATGACACGGCGGCTCGGTAAGGAAAAAGTCGCCGCGCGGTCGTCAGCTGGAGGCGAGGGGGCGCGAGTACCGCAGCGCCGGCGGCGGTGGCTCGCGTTCGACGCGAACACACTGTTTGGCGAGGGCGCGCCATGGCTTTGAGCGGCTGGGGGGCTGCGGGGTCATGTAAGGCGCGGTAGATGTTTATCGCGTCGCGACGCATCACTAGCGTGTCGATATCGGGCCACCCAAGCGTCGCGAGGGCGGGGGATATATGGTCGCCTCGGCGTAAACCAGATACCAGTCGGGCGGCAAAATTTATGACCTTCTGCAGTCGGTTCAGGCGGGTGCGTGTCGCCCCACCCCATACTGACAAGCAATACTGAAGGTGAGGGAGGACGTGGGTCTGTACAAGAATTTTGAGGATGTCATTTGAGAGGTGAGATCGGATTTTGAAAAGAGATATGATTATTGCGTTGGTACGCCGGGCGACTGAGGATATGTGGCGCTCCCAGGTGAGGGTCTGATCGAATTCAACGCCCAGGATTTTTAGATGTTTTTGTGGCCGGATTTCTTCGTTATTTATCCGAATCGTGAAGGATGATGCTTTTTCAACTGCATTTACTGTGCCAATGATAATGAAAGAAGTTTTGCTTGCGTTCATTTTCAGACTGTTTCTACTAAACCATTGCTGAAGACATTCAACGTTATTTTCGGCTCGATACCTCAGCGCTTGGAGTTCGTCAGGATTGTTTGGTGCTGAGTCTAGGATTTGGGTATCATCTGCGTAGGATACTAGTCTACCATGGGGCAGGAAAGATGGTAGGTCGTTGATAAAGATGAGGAAGAGGATGGGACCGATTATAGAGCCTTGGGGGACTCCATGTGAGAGAGGAAGAGCCGCTGAGGATCCTCCACGGACAAGTTGGGAGCGACCGGACAGGTAGCTGCTGAACCAGCTGGATGATACACCGTACCACTCTAACTTGTCCAGCAGTATCGGGTGGTCGACGCTGTCGAAGGCCTTGCTCAAGTCGATCGATGTTAGTGACACAAGGTGACCGACATCAATCTTTTCAGCTGTCCATCCGACAATGTCGAGGAGGGCATCTTCCGTAGAGTGTGATGGGCGATAAGCGTATTGGGAGGGTGAGAGGATGTGGTTTGTGATAAGGTAGGAACTGAGTTGGGAGCATACCACTTTTTCAAGGATCTTTGATAAGGCTGGAAGAATTGATATTGGGCGGTAGTTGCTAGGGTCGTTGAGATCTCCTGATTTGTGGATGGGAGTGACGACGGCGACCTTCCAGGCATCTGGAAAGGTACAGGTGGATATGGATGTGTTGACAAGGTGGAGAATATGGGGGACTATGACGGGGAGACAACTCCGGAGGGCGTGCAGGGGTATGCCGTCTAAACCTACTGCCCGTGACGCTCCGAGCCGAGATATAATGCGCGAAAGTTCTGGAAGGGTTACGCAATGTGGGACGAAAGAGGTAGCACATACTCGATTTGGGCGAGGCTCGGCGCTGAGGCCGTGGTCGCGGCGAGCGGCGTGTGCGGCCTCCGCTACGCGAGCACCGACGCTGGCAAAGTGCTTGTTTAGAGAGTCTGCGGAGAGGCTGTTTTCCGCTGTTTTCGATTTGGAGCGGTGGCTTTTAGAGGAGAGGTCCGCGCCGAAGTCTTTCAATCTCGCCCAAAAGCGCCTTGCGTCTTGTCCTAACAATTCCGTGAGGTAGGAACGACGATGCTCGGTCAGCACAACTTTGGCCCTATTGCGCAAGCGACGGTACTCGTTTTTGTCCGCGTCAGAATGGGTTCGATTCCAAGCGCGACGCGCAGCATCTCGCTCGGACATAACAGTTCTTACTTCTTCATTTTTGAGCCAGGGACAGTATGGGCGCTTCACACGTTTAGTTGTAACAGGACAGTGTACACTTACTACGTTATTCCAGATATTCATAAAGCATGTCAGTTTCGTGTTTATATCGGGGGCGAGGTAAAACGAGTTCCAGTTTGCACACAAAATGTCGAGGGAGAAAGCATCCCAATCTACTCTGTTCCAAGCACGTGTCTGAAAAGTCACAGGAGCTCTCCGGGCTCGTCTGGCGGTTGTACGAATGATAACAGGAAAATGATCAGTTAAAAGATGAGTGTGAACAGAGGCTCTGGCATCGATGACAGACGAGTCAGATATGATCAAATCGAGCAATGCGGGCGATGGATGTGGGTGTGTGATATCAGAAACATGTTGAGCAAGATTTAGATCATTCAACAACGCATTGAAATTACGACATTCGGCAGATTCAGCATTCATAAGGTTCACATTAAAATCACCGAGGGCAAAAACACGATTGCCTAATGCAAGTGCGATCTCAAACTGATTACGAATGCAGTCTAATTGTTGTGCGTTCAAAGCACCTGGTGGTCGGTAGAAAGCACCCACAGTCACGGTCGCTCGGCGGGCGCCGCCCACGGACAGCCAGAGGGCTTCCACGCCGGTGCTGTTGTTGTCGCTGTTGGTGTCGTGGAGGCGGGACGTGCGCAGCTCATCAGACACCAGGAGGGCCACGCCGCCCCCTCGGCGCCCGCCAGGACGGTCGCATCTGTATAATGAGTACCCCGGTACGATGAGAGCGCCGTCGAGGACAGAATTAGATAGCCAGGTTTCGGAGATGCATAGAACTTCAATTTCTTCGCTTTGTACAAGGTGGCAGACCTCGTTTAGCCGAGGAGCGAGGGAGCGGGCATTTATGTGGCCGATGCAGTAGGCATTACTCTCTGTCTTATCTTGTTGCGGTAGGTGGGTTTGGTGCGCGGTCAGGCGGGGCGGCTCCAGGAGACAGCGAGCTGCAGGGCGGTCCAGGCGCGCTCGGGGTGGGGATGGGTGGCGCCCTACACGGAGAGGTCCGGCTGGGACCCCGACGCCGGGAGCGGTCAGCTGGTCGCCGCTCCCTCGTGCCTTGGCGCGGCGAACCCGCCACCCGCCTCGGCACCCCCGCCTGGCCGGCCGCCGGGGACGTGCCCCGGCGACCGTCCCACCGTCCGGCATTGTTGACTTTAGCCGGACGGTGAGCCCTCGAGCGGCCCCGGGTGAGGGGGAGCTCGGCCGTCCAGTTTCGTTGTCATGGCGACGAAGGGGAGAGGTGTCGAATTCCTCCGCGTCGTCTTGAAAGTATTCGTGGGCGAGAAAGTAGTTTTTGAAAAATCGAGCAGAACTTGCGTGTAATTATTGTTATATTGAAACACAGGTTACACCAGGTATACAACGCGGGAAAACCTCAATGCTCACAAATAGTTAATCCGGATTTAAGGTAATTTTGGGCCAATGTCACGGCCGGTGCGGTAGGCGCGTCAACGGTGATGTATCTCACGTTTTCGTTGATTTCTTAGAAAATACTTGCGGCTCTTCATCAAAAACACTTCCCAGATATGCACTTGCGGCTTACGATCACAGTAGTAGTAAAAGCACTGGCAGAAGTATAAAGTAACCGGAGAAAACGATGAAAAAACTGAGGAGCGAGATGGGGGTCGCCCGTCTAGCGCGCCACCCACGCACGAATTGAAAGTTGAGGTCACCGATGAGGTCACCGCACTAACTGAGCAATGACGGTGTCCGAGTTGAGGTCACCGATGACGTCACTGCACGGACTGACCAATGACAGTGTCTGAGTTAAGGTCACCGATGACGTCACCGCACTAACTGACCAATGACGGTGTCTGAGTTGAGTCGTCGGCCAATCATGGGCACTGGCGGGAACAGTCGCAGCGTCTCCTTGATGACCATTTCCAGGTACCGGAGCTTCGGCAGGTCGTCGCGGGTCAGCGGCCTGTGAATAAGGTCACAGAGGTCAGAGGTCACAGAGGTCAGAGTTCACAGGGGTCAGAGGTCATAGAGGGGCAGAGGTCATAGAGGGACAGAGGTCTGTAAACAGGTCACAGAGGGTCAAAGGGACATGTCACAGAGCGGTCTGTAAAAAAGGTCACAGAGGGTCAGAGGTCACAAGGGTCACAGAGGTCAGAGGTCAGATGTCACAGAGAGACAGAGGTACAGGCAAAGCTGGTTAGAGATCTGTAAACAAGTCACAGCTGGGGTCAGAGGTCTGTGAAAATCTGTGAAAGTGTCATCGCGGGTCAGAGTCTTGTGGGTAACTAGGAAACTTAGGAGGTCCATCAGCAGTGTAGAGCAAGAAAATGGTCTTGCTCTGACGAAATGGATAAATTGTTAACTCAGCACCATTTCCAAATGGAGAACAATATTCCTTTTTCTAATGATACCTACTACCTTAGATTATTTTGTTTGTGATAAAAAATTAACACAACCGGTATTTCAACAGAATTCACTCCAACTTTGGGATTTCCAGAGAAAAAACGTTACATAGAAACCTCCAGCAACCCGAATTACCAACAACAAAGACCTGAAGTCTCTTCATCAGCGATCTGAATTTACAACACCAGTGACCCGGGCCTGCTCCTCTAGCGACCCGAGTCTGCACCTCTAGTGACCCGCGTTTGAACCTCTCAAGAACCGATGTTTGCACCTCTTGTTACCCGAGCCTGCACCTCTAGTGACCCGAGTTTGGGCCTTAAATAACCCGAGTTTGCACCTCTAGCGAACCGGGCTCGCACCTATAGGGAACCGGGTTTGCACCTCTAGCGACTTGGTTTTACATCTCTAGTGACCCGGGTTTGCACCTGTGGTGACCCGAGTTTGCACCTCTGATGACCCGAGTTTGCACCTCTGGTGACCCGTGACCTACCGCTGCTGGTCGCCGAGGACCTCCACCAGCTCGTCATAGACCTTCTGCTGGACGTCCGCGTTCCTGCCCAGGTTATACAGGGCCCAGTTGGTGCCTGCAGAAGTCGTGTCGTGACCCTGAAACACACCAGGTCAGGTCAGGTCAGGTCAGGTCAGAGGTTATACAGGGCCCAGTTGGTGCCTGCAGAGGTCGTGTCGTGACCCTGAAACACACCAGGTCAGGTCAGGTCAGAGGTTATACAGGGCCCAGTTGGTGCCTGCAGAGGTCGTGTCGTGACCCTGAAACACACCAGGTCAGGTCAGGTCAGAGGTTATACAGGGCCCAGTTGGTGCCTGCAGAGGTCGTGTCGTGACCCTGAAACACACACCAGGTCAGGTCAGGTCAGGTCAGGTCAGAGGTTATACAGGGTCCAGTTGGTGCCTGCAGAGGTCGTGTCGTGACCCTGAAACACACACCAGGTCAGGTCAGGTCAGGTCAGGTCAGAGGTTATACAGGGTCAGAGGTTATACAGGGCCCAGTTGGTGCCTGCAGAGGTCGTGTCGTGACCCTGAAACACACCAGGTCAGGTCAGGTCAGGTCAGGTCAGAGGTTATACAGGGCCCAGTTGGTGCCTGCAGAAGTCGTGTCGTGACCCTGAAACACACCAGGTCAGGTCAGGTCAGAGGTTATACAGGGCCCAGTTGGTGCCTGCAGAGGTCGTGTCGTGACCCTGAAACACACCAGGTCAGGTCAGGTCAGGTCAGAGGTTATACAGGGCCCAGTTGGTGCCTGCAGAGGTCGTGTCGTGACCCTGAAACACACCAGGTCAGGTCAGGTCAGAGGTTATACAGGGCCCAGTTGGTGCCTGCAGAGGTCGTGTCGTGACCCTGAAACACACACCAGGTCAGGCCAGGTCAGGTCAGAGGTTATACAGGGCCCAGTTGGTGCCTGCAGAGGTCGTGTCGTGACCCTGGAACACACACCAGGTCAGGTCAGGTCAGAGGTTATACAGGGCCCAGTTGGTGCCTGCAGAGGTCGTGTCGTGACCCTGAAACACACACCAGGTCAGGTCAGAGAGTCAGTGACTGTGGTCAGTCGAACCTTCTTGGACCAGGGAGCGTTACCAGTTGATCAGTCCTGATTAAAGTGTCCCCGAGCTAGGTCCTGCCCAATATCGGGGTGCACGATGGGTCAGGTCAGGTCAGGTCAGGTTAGGGCGCTGTGTCAGTGGTCAATGTCGGCTATAATCGCTAGGCTATAGCGTCAGCGCAGATAACCGCTCGCCATAATACACCTTTTTGCACTACAAATCGGCATCTGGTCATTCAATTTCGACACTTTGCATTCAATATCGACAGAGCCCCTATTCGAAGCAAATGAGAGAACGCTAAAATTGAATGCAATTCGCCGAAATTGAATGAAAAGATGCCTATTTTGAGTGCAAAAAGGTGTAGTTCAATGTGTATGCACTAGGCACTCGTATGTCGCAATAAACGTATTACATTGACGTTTACATTAGACATTCGCATTCCAAAACGCAATACGCACGACGTTTATCTTGTCCTATCGCTCATAATATAGACGAGAAGTATATTTAACCATGTTGCAACACTCCAGACTCAACATTGAATCCGCGACCTTCGATCTCCTGCTGAGTGCGCCGAAACGAAACCGTCTTTGTTGATAATCGTTCGACACAGACCTGTCTTTGAAACGTCAAAACATTGAGCTAAGAAATATGAGAGAGGATGAACGTCCAAACCGTTTACGCCCGATGAAATGCGTTACCTCACTAGTATAAATGTTTCTGTTGGATTAGAGTATTTTACTAAAAAGGGTGTCTGACTGTAGTACTATAATGACTGTTATGATTTTTCGGTCTGACTGTATGACCTGGACATTAGTTCTCCTGAGACATCGGAACTTAGTACACCGTCTCTAACCTTCTCCAACGTACATAACCTATATGAGTTAGGTACGTGACCTACCTAATCCTAACCCATGTGATCTCCCGCGTCACATGAGCCATGACCCCCCGCACTACGTGACCTCTGACCCCGCACACCACGTGACTTCTGACTAGTGATGTCAAATACACAAAATTGTAATACCGATACCAAACCAATTACCAACCCAAAACCGTAAAAAAAATACCAAAACCGAACCAACTTGGAAACATAAGGGAAATACCAACTTTTTACCAAATTTTCAGCCTCTTATACATTAGTGAGGGGTAACAATACCAACAAAATATCAAACACATTAGGATTGAAATACCAAATACCAAGTTGGTATCGGTTTGGTATCGGCATACCAAAAAGTTGGTATCCGATTGACATCTCTACTTCTGACCCTCCGCACCATGTGACCCCTGCTGACCTCGAACATGAACGTGTCGACCTCCTCCCGAATGTCTGCGTCGCTCAGCGGTCGGCCGTCGATGGTCGAGTGGAGCAGAAGGTCCAGGAAGGCTCGCCGCTTCTTCTTACCTGAAATCAGCGCGGAAATGGTGATCCACAGCACGATTTGGGAAGTATACTCCGCGTCAGAATGGCCGGTGCAATATTTAGGCACTACGAATTCCTTTGTTATGCTTTTGTTTGTTGTATAAAAATTCAGAGGAAGAGTGCCAATGTTTTATTTAATCATTATGTAAAAGTGCATTCCTTCGTAGTGTTGAAAGATAACCGAAGCATCAGCCATCTCCCGCATTGCACTAGGCATGAGATTACGAAATACCAGCATACTAATGCGCATAATTGCTCAGTAGCTCCCTGGTTTATCAGAATACACATGGTAACTTCTATTTGGTACTTTTAACCCTCGCACGACCAGGCCATTTCTCATAACACGAACGACCAGGGGGGGGGGGGTTGTTACGACCCCCCTCCCTGGCGTTTCGAAACGGAAGGTCGTAGAGCTTAGCGGAAAAAACCAACGGATTGCTCTCAACGAGATCTCGCGATTGGTGGTATATTTTTTGGTCCTAGGTCAACATTTGACCTACTTATGACCGGTCAAAGGTCAAATTTTCCGAAAAAAATCAAACTTTTTCAACTTTGCGCAACGATTGCGGCAAAACGGTGAGAGATATTAACTTCAAACCTTCAACAACGTATTCCCCACTCAATTCTGCATCATATATGGTGTTTTGGTGTATTTACCCTATAAAAGTAAGAGGCCTATTGCTGATGAGTGATATGGTGTCACATCACCCTCCGGTGTTTGTCCCGATTCGTCGGCTGTTGACCACGTGGGTATCACCGGCAGAAAACCTAGGGATTCGGCGCACACGTTTGGTAACTGTCGGCCGGAGGCTGTACCTCTTATGACGTCATAACTCCGTGACCTGACATGACCCGATCAATTTTTTTCGGCAAAAGATGCGCAAAGGTTGCCCCAGAGGGTATTGAAAATTTCAGCCCGCTACGACAAGCCGTTTAGCGTGCACTTCGAAAAAACCTCAGGGGGGGTTGATACAACCCCCCCCCCTAGGCGTTCTAGGGTTAATCCGTCCAAACACAGCAGAACCAAGGGGCGACTGTTACAATACTATGAAGGAACTCGCCTGCCTCGTCCGTCACGGCACCGCCGTCGCCTGATGTCGCCTTTTGCAACTCCTCCCGACGGGTTCGGATCACCTGGACACAATTGTGGATACAATTGATACGCTGGATACAATTCGGATACAATTGTGAGAACGAACCGAACCACAGCGGCGCTACAGACTACAGAGTGCTGAGAGACACAGGGGAATGGTTGTCACAGAAAAGTGAGAAATATACGAGAATGGGCGTTACAGAATAGTGAGAAGCACAGCGAAATCGGTGTGATGGAAAGTGAGAACAATAGGAAAATGGGCTACACAGAATAGTAAGAGTTACAGGGGTAGGTATGAGTGACACAGAGTATATACTAAAAAAAAAAACAAAAAAAAACACAGAATGGACTATAGAATAGTGAGAAGCACAGCGACACGAACATCATAGATTAGTGATCAATACAGACAGTGGCGCTCACTACATTGAAAGTAATTCTCGATATTTGATCGAATAGTTTGGTGACATTTTGGTGCGCTATAGGAACGATGAATATACGAGTATACGCTACGGATCATTTTATCGTCGACTACTTTTGTACCATCTACTGTGACTGTTTTGTGGGTTAGGTACACAGTGCCCTGCAAAACGTTCGTTACTAGTGATGTCAATTACGGAAAATCGGAATACCGATACCAAACCTAATACCAACCAAAACCACGGGAGAATACCGAAACCAAACCTTCTTGGGAAACTGAGGGAAATACCAACTTTTTACCGATTTCTTAGCCTCTTATATATTAGTGAGGGCTTATGATACCAACAAAATACTAAACACAGTACGATTGAAATACCAAATACCAAGTTGGTATCGGTTTGGTATCGGTATACCAAAAAGTTGGTATCCGATTGACATCTCTATTCGTTACCAGTCGCGGCGCAACTAGTTTGACGTACCGAGTCGGTGAATCCGTGCAGCAGCTTGAGACTGTCCTTTTGTACTTTGTACAGAGATGACAGTCGAAACACCAGATCGTTTCGCAGCCAGGGACGCATGAACCGGAAAAACACCACCTCGCCCATACTGGAACAAACGAACAGCCATCATATCACATCAAACCCTTAGGCATACCACAAACATAGGAACCGTAAATATAGCGGCTCATACTGAAACTAAACCTATCAAGAAACACCTCACGTCAAATATATACAGCACAATAAAATGGAAAATAAACACGACCTTGCCCACCCTGACGGAACAACATAGCAGCAATAACAGAATAAAACAAATTAAAATTTTAATTAACAAGCAACACGGCTGAGCATCACGAGTTATTGTTAGCGATTTGGCAGCAGAGCGTCTGTGATGTTAGATGTCCCGTTTAGAAGGTCAATCCGTGTGACGTCACCAGCCACTCGTAGACGTGTTATATGACGCCACTACTCTCGTATGTCAGCCCGCACATGCTAAATGACGTCAAAACTCACTCGTAGACTATTATATGACGTCAAAGCTCACTAGTAGACGTGTTATATGACGTCATTACTCTCTCGTAGCCGTGTTATATGACGTCACTTCTCACTTGCAGACGGCCTGCGCAGTGCACGTATTATATGACGTCATTACTCATTTCTGTCTCTATTATGTGACGCCACTACTCACTCGTAGACGGCCTGCACATAGTCTGTTCGAGCTCCATCCTGGGCCTTGATCTGAACGCCCATCGTGGCTTCTGAAAAATAAACGAAATAAATAACTTCAGTGCTGTTCAATGGTGATCAAGCAGAACATTGTCATCGTTTTATTGACTGTCTCCCTGCTGCAAATACGATGCATTACATGACCAAACAAAGCAAGTAGGTACAACATGATCTTACTTCATGGCTCAGTACACATCAGGCATCATATCGCATGCGTAGTAAAATATCCAGTGCGAACTGCGAAGTACACATAATATCTCTGCATATTTCTGTGAATTTATGCATCAATAATGCATAACGGATGTGAAATAGCATGCCGCTAATCATGCATAACCTCATGAAGCCCTGATTGCCCTAGTGATACGCTAGTTACTAGCATGACCGCTGACTCAAACGTTCCGTTGTCCACGCCGTACCGCATATGATATCCAGTGTCGCCTTGGTGATGAATGGGAACACGTTCACCCGCTGGCCGCCAGTGTCCTTCAGCTTGGCCACCAACACCTGCGACTGCTCGTTGAACACGTCCATGAACTGGTCCAGGATGGTGAAGTGGAACGCCGGCGTCAGCATCTTGCGCCGCTTGTGCCACTTGGTGCCTGGAACCGGATCATTGGGGAGGCTTACATAGCGTGGTATTTTACTATGGTTTTCTTTTGACGTTTTGAGGTACCTAAATGTTTCAATAATCACTGAGATGTTAAGCACTGCTTTTTAAAGTGTCTGCTATTTATCGGTATCGGTTGCCTATGTATCGGTTGTCATAGTTGCCCGTGCTGGTGATCAGTCCGGAGTATATATTGCACAGTTTGTTTATCGGTTGTCATAGTTACCGGCGCTGGTGAGCAGACCGGTGTCTATATTGGACAGTTTGTTGATTGGTTGCCATAGTTACCAGTGCTGGTGAGCAGGCCGGTGTCTATATTGCACAGTTTGTTGATTGGTTGCCATAGTTACCGGTGCTGGTGAGCAGACCGGAGTATATAATATATTGCAGTTTATTTATCGGTTGCCATAGTTACCAGTGCTGGTGAGCAGACCGGTGCCCAGCCACGGCTCCAGTGACTGGTACTCCTCTCCTTTCTGGATGTGCTGGTTACTGCTGAAAATCACCTGCAAATCGAGCGATGAGACTGTTAGTAAACTGTTACAGCGCCATACATATGAACAGCAACTCCAGTCCACTAATCACAGCTTCAGTGGGTGCTGACTGACAGGCCTAGCCTCTTGAACACGTTTCTTGAGCTTGGCATGATGCTTCAGCAAGCTCGTGATTCATATGTTTCATTATAGGGGCATTCCACGTCAAGTGGGACAAAAAATGATCATTTTGAACCTCACCTCCTCCGATTTTTGCGAAACTTTGTGAAACTACTCATCTATATGTGAAAAGAAAGGAGACATATTTTTGTCAAGATATGACGTCACGTTTCCGAGATACACGTCATCAAACATTGACTTAGGTAAGGCACATTATCATCTTTAAACCGTCATAACCATTGAAGTTTTAGACATATCACCACGAGACAAAGTGTGAAATGGAGGGAATAGGTCAGGCTTTAATTTGAGGATAACAATATTGACGTAATTAACTAATTAGTGAGCTTTATTAGAATTCAAAAAATAAATTTTGATTTTCTGAAAAATGGGTACCCTTCGATTTTGCTGATTTTTACATATTTTATTCTCCTATACATTAGCTACATCATATAAAAAATCCAGAATGCGCCGACGTCTACGTAACTGTCCTTTGAACTTCGTAATGTCTGGCACTCGCGTGTTTCGTTTTAGCAACCAAGGAGAGGCGCTACCCGGAGATGCTTCTTTCTGCCCCAAACCAAAGAAAACCTAACCTGACCTGACGTGACCTGACCTAATCTAACACGCGTAAATGCGACCCAGCGACCTTTAGATTTCGAGGTGGGTACACTCGGCACACTTACCACGAAGCCACGAAGATAGCTGGTCATCGTAAGCCAGTTTTTATGATGAAATTGGGCATTCTCCGGGCAGCGCCTCTCTTTGGTTGCAAAAAGAAAATACGCCTGACTCTCCCAGCGCTAAGGGAGAAAAGCCCGGTTTAGCCAAAAAAAGGTATTAGAAAATACGGAATTTGAATTGTAGGTGGGGCGGTGGGGAACTTTATCGTGTGCCAATTTCATGGCCCTAGATCAATATAATCAAGATCAAATGAGGTTAAACGTGATCAAATTTGCTATAGTGACTAGTTTGCGTTTATATACGCCCATAGCTCTAAGAGATAGGTACTGGCCGATTTTCCTATTTCTTCCTTTATACGACATTTGCAGTGTTATGAGAATCTCTAGTTAATCTTACCATAAATTTGGCAGTTAATGGCTTGCTAAGAGTAAGATGTCGCCGGCAGAGGCGGGGATCGGCCGACGCGGGAAACGTCATAGTCACATATTGTGTTTGCACCCTAAATAATTTAATTTTACCAGTTGATTTTCGTATTGATTTGAACATTAGCTTGCCTGTACATTTTTAAGCCTTCACACAAAATTTGACACGAATCGATCATAATCAGCGGTAAGAAGCGAGGTGCAAAGGTGGAACCGTCCTGCGCCGGCACAGTCTACCATTCAGGCGGCAACGGCCGGCGCCGGCCGCCGATCCGCTCCGGCAGGAATGTTTGACTTTACACCGCTATTACTAGAAAAGTTGTGGACCGATTTACCTATTTCTTGCGCGGGAGGATTTGCAATTCGATTCTGGACAGATGCTGAAAGTTTGACGCTAATATGATAAATATGGCGTGAGTTATTGGCGATAAACAGGTGGAGTTAGCGAAATCGGCCCCTTCCACCGCCCGTGCTACGTTGCACTACTTGTTGCTATATCATCCAAAGTTATCGTTGGCCCTCTCTAATTTTCTCAGCACCTGTGCACCACGTGTAGTGGAAGACAATATCTAAATTTGAGCAAAATCGAAGGGTACCCATTTTTCACAAATTACATTTTAAGAAATTAATTCAAAATAAAATAAATTCAAATTCACCAAAAAATGTTAAAATTGTCAAATTTTGCTAGCATAACTCCTTATGTATACGTTTCAGTTTGTTTGAAATTAATAGCTTCAAAAATGTTGAAGCTATAGATCTTTCAAGATTGCAATACACGTCCAATTCTGCTAAAAAAAGCAGAAGTTTAGCGACTTGTATCTCTGTAGCCCGAGGGCATATGACAAAATCCTTTCACCCTCAGAGGTTTCACCCAATAGCCAATAAGTATACCAAGTTTGAACAAAATCGCAGAGGTGGCCGATTTTGGCTGTCCCGGTTGACATGGAATGCCCCTATAAGGGATTAGTGCCAAGCGGTATTATTATTTTGGATTACATCTACCTAGAAGTGAAAATGATGTGTGAGTGTTCTCACAAATCTCCGTTACTTAAACTTAAGCATCGCCTTTATGTTGTGCTTTATCTATTTGATCCTTAAGTGCGAATAGATATTTTAATTGATCGTAAGCAGCTCAAGTCACTCCGGAAACTCCAATCATAGGTCCGATCATAAAACTTCATAGTCCGACGGACGGTCATAAAGATGTCTGACTGCAGGCCTATGTTCGGCCATTGAGCCCATGATCGGGCCCATCCCATCACTGACGCCGCAGCAGCCCCCCCCCCGCCCCCACCCCCTCCCAGCAGACGGACAGTCAAGGTCACGCGAAGGTCGCACTGATTTGCCACGCGTCGGTCGCCCCTCCCCCTCCTCCCCCCCCTCCTCCCCCCCCCCTCTCAGCTGGTGGGGAACGAGTGTGATTCTGAAAGTCATGCCTGACAAACAGTCATGGGGCCGAGGCGCAGCCCAGGCTCGGAGCCCTGATATAACCCAGAGCTTTGAGGTGACCGAGAGCCCTGCTCCGTACGCTGTAAAACGTAGCGTAAAAATAGCATGAACATGATAAGCGTCGCCAGAACTGTAGCTTCTAAGATTACCTACTCCTGTTTTGGCTAACGATTCAAGTTTTCATTTTTATGCTGCTGAGACATACTCGAGGGCAGCGCTTTTCGAGGAGCGCTGTGGCCCGAAGGTTTGAACTTTGAATTGTGAAAACGCCCGCCCGCCGCAAAACGCAAACACCGCAAAACGCACGCCCGAAACGCCAACGCAAAGGTCGCAAAAAATAAACAAACGCCCGCCGCAAACCGCAAATAAAAAAAACGCAAAAACGCCGCAAAACAATAAAACCGCCCGCATCGCACGCCCGCTAACCGCCAACCGAAAACGCCTGAAAATCGCCCGCCCGCCGCCAAAAAAAAGCACCGCAAAAAAACGAAAAAGCGGCCGCCAACCGCAAACAAATTTAACACCGCAAACGACGCAAAAAAACCGCCCGCATCGCCCGCCCGCCCGCCCGCCGCCAAAGACAAACACCGCAAAAAACACAAAACGCCCGCCCGCCGCAAAACGTAAACACCGCAAAACGTGTAAAACGCACGCCCGAAAAGCCAACGCAAACGGCAAAAAATCGCCCGACCGCCGCAAACCACACAGAAAAAAACGCCGAAACGCCGAAAAAAATAAAACCGCCCGCACCGCACCGACGCTAACTGCTAACCGAAAACGACTAAAAGTCGCCCGCCAGCCGCCAAACGCAAACACCGCAAATAAGCGCCCGGCCGCAGCAAGATAATAATTTATCAGCGGCTGGCATACCGCTAGGCTGGTCATTTTCACAAAGCAAAAAGATATCTGCAAAAATCTCCTAGATGAAAGCGCCCGATTAAAAAACGGATGGCACGTGCGTGTTCCTCGCCCCCAACTTCCTTCAGGTCAATCGTCATTTGGGTCATCTAACGCATTGACGTATCTGCAAAAATCTCCTAGATGAAAGCGCCCGATTAAAAAACGGATGGCACGTGCGTGTTCCTCGCCCCCAACTTCCTTCAGGTCAATCGTCATTTGGGTCATCTAACGCATTGACGACCGGCTGGGTGGAATGAACATTGCGCCAAGAAACGGAAGTATATTGTCAAAAAGAATCCCCAGAATGGTGGATCCCAAAAGTTTGAAACTACCACTTTGGCCCACTGGACGACACCTTAAACAGTTGCCGACCGGATGACACCCATTGTTTGGTCACCCACGCCATAGTATGCATCATGGGTGCGCCGAAATGACCAAAAGTCCCAATTTCCGGTGTGCAGGGTCATTTTCAACGGCACGTGGCACGTGTTTCTGGACTTTTCCGGCCACTTTGCGACATACCCATGGGTAGTGCACCGAATGGTGGTTGATCTGCATGTAAGAAAATGGGGGGTCGTTTGGATCGTTTTCGAGCAATCTGCCGTGGAACGCATTTTTTTCATTTTGCCCATTGGCTTAACACGGGAATTTTCAAAGTCACGTGGCACGTGCACCAGATGGTCCGCGGAGGGGAGACCCATACCAGAACGTAGATCACCTGGCCCACTAGAAATCCTGAAAAAATCAGAATTTTTGGAGCAGCCGTTTTCAAGAGCATCAAGTTGTACTGATCTCAGGCAGCTTTTGCCAAATTGTCAGGGAACTCAGATTTGTTTTTCAATAGAAAAACACAATTCTAAAGAATAGTGTTTTAACTATTGACAACAAACCTTCGGTTACCGGCATCTGCGATGCCGGGCTCCGCATCGCGGGACCGCAGGTTGTTTGAGCAAGCACCTTTGTAAACGCAGCAAAAACGCCCGCCACCAAACGAGAGGATGAGCCTTGCACGTGCAGACCGGAGTCGGTGTGCTACGGACTGACGTGCACGGCACCCTATTCGCCGGTCTATAGCGGTGTGCCAACTTTGAGTGCAATCGACCCGGCCGTTTTCGAGATCTGGAAGCGGCACCCTGCACGTGCGCACGTGCAAGCTGGGTCTTAATTGACTTTTGCACGGCACCCTTTTCGCCGGTCTCTAGCGGTGTACCGAATTTAATCTGAATTGGCCCAGCCGTTTCCAAGATCTGGAAGCGACCCCTACACGTGCGCCCGTGCAGCTGCACCCCAACCGTGGCACATGAAAATACATACTTACTGACTTGTGAACGGCACCGTACTAACCAGTCTCTTGTGGTATGCCAAATTTTAGCACAGTCGGTCCAGCCGTTCTTGAGATAT